AATGGAGGGTGCTGAAGAGAAGAGGTGGTTTCCTGCACCCTGACAGGGGTAACGTGGAGGCACTAATGTTGGACCTGTCACCTGCACCAATGGGGGAGGGGGGCAAGTGAACCCTGCACCTGCTCCCGCTCCTGGAACAGGGCGCCCCAGCCACCACCATCTCTAGCAGATAAGAACCACATCCTGTCCTCCAGCATGGCCACAACCCTCCACCTACACAGGATCTAGGTAAGCCCAGCCGGTGCCTGTAGCTTGGAAAGGAGGAGCCACACCCACTCAGATGAACTTCAGAATGTGCAGCCTCTCCCCCCACACACATACACACAGGGAAACCTCCCTTCTGGCTATTGGCAACCGCCCCACACACCGAGGACCAGTGCGTGGGAGCTGTAGCCAGCCGAGGTGGCCAGGCTGCACCATGGTGACCTCACGAAAAGCTAACTCTGCAATGCTGCCTGGGGTGGGAGGTGTCGCACACACCTTGGCCTCAGAGTGCTCGTCTGTGCTCTGCACCCTTGTGGTCTTAAGGACTCCAGCTTCTAAAAAACCGCCTCTCCCAGAGAAGGGATCCTTCCTGCTCTTGGCAAGGGAGCGGGGTAGTTTAGGCCCAAGCAGGGCCGGGCCCCAGAGAGACTCAGCACCTGGTGGAGGGAGATGACCCGGCAGAGAGCGTCGCTGGCCAATGGGCCCAGAATCAGAAAGAACCAAGAGGAGGAGTGTGGAGAGAGTGAAGGCAGAAAGAGAGCTCAGAGGAATGGAAGAGAGAAGAAAAGCTAGCAGAGGTTGAAGACTCAGCTGACTAAGGCCAGAGCAGGACAGGGAGCGCATAGGAGGGACAAGCCCTGGAGGCCAAGGAGCAGACAGCTGGAGGGGCCGAGCACCATCATTACCCTGAGGAAGAAGTTTCCAGAAGAAGCTAGCAATCCGAGGTTTTATGCGAAATCGCTAATTTCTTTTTCAATGTTCTCAATAAAGTAAATATTCTGAAAGCATGGGGGGAGGGGACTAACACTCCGGGCGCAGAGAACATCTGAGTTTGGGCTCGGAGAGATGGTAAGACACTGAGGGAGGCCGGGAGACTTCGAGACTGCCAGAGAAAACCAGAGCGCTGAGGTGAGGGAGACCCAGCAGGAGGGCTTGGTTGAGGCGCAGAGCAAGGTGTCGAGGCAGGGAGGGAAATCGAGGCACGATCTCAGCAGACGGGGTGCACGCGCTAAGGCTCTATAAGTGAGTGCGCAGGCGCACACCAATGAGCCAGAACTAGGAGGCATGCGGGGTGGGAGTCGGGGGAAGACTGGCGGGGGTGAAAGGTCAGACCCCAGGGAGAGCGGAGAGATGACGGGGTAGGGGGGAAGAAGGCAGGACCAGAGACGGCCTGGTAGACAAAGGAGCGGATGACACACGAAGGCAGACGTCTGGTCAGCCTAGCAGAGAGAGGGAGAGATGGGGAAGTGATTAAAGAATGAGATGATGAAGCGAGAGAGCCACGGGTCAGAGCACGCAGGACCGGTGCTCCACGGGTGGGGAGGAGGAGAGCAGGGGCCGGGGCCTGGGAGGGGTAAGGATTCAGTCCTTCCCTTCCCCTCGCACAGCCCCTTGCCTGACGACCTGCCTCTCTCCTCGTGGCCTCTGATCGTGCGTGTTCACGAGTGTGTACATGTGTGTGCGCGGGCCTGCGTGCGCTTGGAGACTGCTCTCATAGCGAGATGTGCCCGTGGTCCTGATGCCTGGGGTCTTAATTTTGTTCTCCCCTCGGGTGCTGAGCCTGTCCCTGAGCTCCTCTGGCCCTGCTAGAGTATTCTGCCCACCGCCTCTGAGTGTGGCTAACGGTGCCCTGGGGACTGATGGCACTGCGGGTCCCCCGCACACACGTGCGTTCTAGCTGGGCGCTGGTGCCACACTGGCGCGCATCTCTGTGGCTGTTTTAGGCAGCACGTGGGGCTGGGTCTCAGTGGCTTTGAGGCCACCTCCGCGTCCCCCACTGTGTGTCTCTTTGGCTGAGGCCCTCTGTGAGCGAGTCCACTCGGCGACCCGTGCGGGCCTCTCTGAGCAGCGACAGTGTCTTCCCATGTGTGCCGCCTCGGTGTCTCACACTCTCTCCTCCGGTGGGTCTCTCTGTGTTTGTCTCTGTGTCTGCAACACTCCCTCTCTCTCCTGGCCTCTGGCTGACTTCGATATTGCAGCCACGTCTCTAACTGGGTCCCTCTGAGCCACATCTGGGGCTCTGGCTGTCTATGAATGACCGCGTGTGCGTGCGTGCATGTGCGTGTGTGAGAGAAGGGGCACATCTCTACCTACACATGCCTCTGGGTCTTTCTCACACTCTAAACCCCACTCCCCACCCCATTACTTCTCAGGAGCCCCTTTCTCTTCTCTCTGCTCAGAACCCCCAGCCTCTTCTTTCTCCCCAGAACCATCTCTTTCTGGGACCCCCTTCTCTGACATCCCTATCCCTGTTTCCTCATCCCACCGTACCCCCAACCCCAGAACCCACCCTCCTAGACCCTCCTCATGGGAAACTCTCCTCAAATCCTCAGATCCTTCGAAGTCCCCATCTAGTCCCAGGGAGCCCAAGGCCCAGGCTCTGTCCTGAGTCCTTCCCACTTTTTTGTACCCCTTCTTCCAGGGGCTCCTCCTCCTCTGGGGCCAGGGACCCGACCAGTCTCTCCCCAGGGCTCCGAGTCCTCTGGGGCTGAGTTGGGGTCCCTCTCACAAGTTTGAAACTGTGCCTCCTGTCACCCCCTGCACCTCTGGAGGACAATGTTTCTGGATCTTTCTCGTGGGCACCCTGGGCGGCCCCACTATCCCTGCGTTTGTGGCTCCCTGTCTCTGCCACTCTTGCTGGCTCGCTCCCTCGCTCTGTGTGGGAATGGTGTGTGCTACTCTGTCTCCCTGACTCTCCCTTTCTTGCGGAAATTAAATGAGTAACTCTGTGTATGTCTGCCTCAGCGGCGATGTGCCCTAATTGTGTGTGTGTGTCTGTTTGCAAGTCTGGGTCCCCCTCTCCCCCTCCGCCTGTGCCTCCCTCTGGCTCCTACCCATTCCCTCCTTGTCTGAGTGTCTCTCTCACACCTCTCCGTGGAGGGAGAAGGTGAGAAGGGAAAAAGGAGGCTGCCAAACGCAGGTTAGAAGGATTCAGGAGACCAAACAGAAGATACTACAGGAAGAGGGAGGCGGCTGGTTCTGGCCCCCATTGGGGGAGGTGGATTTTAGTGGGGACAGGATGCTGCCGGCTGCCTGGACCAGGAGGGGAGCCGGCTCCGGCTGCTCCCAGCTGCTGCTGGAGCCAGAGTTCCTGGCTAGCGGCTGCGCGGCCGGGACTGGGGATGTGAGGCGCATAGCAATGGGCGCTGCGGAGGCTCCACTGCAGCTCCCAGCTGGGGTGGGGGGCAGGGAGGGGCTGAGGGGCAGCCCTGAGGCTCCCACCCCCTCCTAGCTGGGCTCTCCCCAGGGGAATTCCCCACCCCAGGACAGTCAGTTCAGGAGAGGGGGCCGGAGACTGTAGGGCCCAGGGCTGGGAGAATTGGGGGGGGGGGGCTCTGGAGGAGTTCCAGAGCAGCAAGGTGAAGTGCCAGGGAAAGGCAGGAGATGGGGGTGGGGAGAAAGGTGTCAGGGTAGGAGAGGCCGGGGGAGGGGAGTCCCTGGGGACTCAGAGCCCTGGGGAGAGACTGGTCTGGCCCCTGGCCCCAGAGGAGGAGGAGCCCTTGAAAGAAGGGGCTCGGAAAAACTGGGAGGGACTCAGGACAGAGCCTGGGCCTTAGGTTCCCTGGGACCAGAATGGGACTTCGAAGAATCTGAGGGTCTTTGGAGGAAAGGTTCCGGAGACGAGGGTCCTAGGATTGGGAGGGGTCCGGCATCGGGGGATACTGTGGGATGAGGAGACAGGGATGGGGGTCTCTGAATAAAGAAAGGTCAGAGAGGGGGTCCCAGAAAGAGATGGGTCTGGGGAGAAAGAAAGGGGCAGAGGATAGGGGTTCTGAGCAGAGAGAAGAGAAAGGGGTCCTGAGAAGGAATGGGGTGGGGAGTGGGGATACAGGAGAGTGGGGATAAAGTTGAGGTCTCATGGAGACAGGGTCAAGGGGGAGGGTATCTGGGGGAAAGGGTCAGAGATGGGGTGAGGGATCCTGAGGGGAAGATGAAGTGCAGACAGAAGTCTTAGCAGAGCCGGGTGTGAGGATGAGAATGCTCAGGAGACCGCAGCAAAATCGGGGGGGGTCCCCAAGAGGAGGGGGTGAAGGAAAGTGGGAGAAGATGGGGTCCCAGAGAGACATGTGCAGAGGATAGAAGGCCCTGAGGGTAATGGGATCCAGGAAGGGGGTCTTGGGGACAGGGAGGGGCGGGGGGCTCTGCTGTCCACCAGCAGGGGTTGGAAGACCCCAGATGGTGAGGGGCTGAAGATTGGGGAGGGGGCTGTCTCGCTCCACAGTCACCCCCTCCGCCTTTCCCATTCTCACTTCCCAAACTCCCTGGTTCTCCCTGGTTGCCACGGCAACCGCTCCTGCCAGGCGCGGTCGCCAAGGAAACCCCGTGCCCGCCTCTCCCCCCTCCCCATCACTGGCGTGCCCCCCCACCCCAGGCAGCAGCGGAGTGGAAGGTGGGAGGGGCAGTGTTGGGGGGAGAACACGGACTACCGCCCCAGAAAGGCGGACCAAGACCTACGCCCGGCGAGACCCTCACCGTGAACCTACATCCTCGGTCCCACAGCTGGGTACGCAGCGACCGCCCGACGAACGCCGCACCCCTCGTCCCTCCCCCCCGGCAGGCAGCGACCCCCAACCCAGAACTCGCTGGGCCGGAGAACCCCCGCACCCGAAAACCTCCCCCACCCGCTAGTGCTCTCCGCCAGGCCTCGCCCACTGTACTCTGCCGCTCCCCCCCACCCGGAGGAGGCCTACAGACCACTGTCCCCCAATTAGAGAATGCCCCCCACCCGCCCCCAGCCGTTCCGCCTCCAGCCCCTGCCCCTGCCGCCCACCCCGCGCCAGTCAGCGGCTACTCACAGCGAGGAAAGGGCTCCTTACGGGGGGGCAACATGCCCGGCCAGCGGGGGGGACCCCCCCAATGAGGCACAGGGATTCGGGGTGCGAGGCCCGCTGCGGGGAGGCGCGGGGGGCGGGGCTGCGTCCGGCTCGAGGTCTCTAGCGCTCGCCCCCCTCCCCGGCTCCGGGATGGGGAGGGGGCTTCTGCAGCGGCAGCGGTGGGGTTGGGGGGGCCGCTCTGCCTCCTCGCCCGGCCAGGCGCCCTCGCCCGCCGGCCAGCCGCCCGCCTTCCTTCTTCCCTTCCTTTCTTTCCTTCTTTTTCCCCTTGCTTCCTTCCTTCCAGCCTTCCTTCCTTCCTTCCTCCCTCCTC